CAGTACTATTTTAAGTTTTTTATATGTGTTAATTTGTTTAAGCATATTGTTGCAGTTGCTGTTAAGTGCCTTCGAGTCAGTTCTGATTCATATGGACCCTGTATAGGGTTTCAAGACTTTTTTTAAGTCTTTGAGGAAGCAGAAAGCCTCATTGTCATACGTTGTTGTTAAGTGCCATTGAGTCAGTTCTGACTCATAGCAACCCTGCATAGTGTTTCTGAGGAATAGCTGGTGAGCTTGAACTTCCAAACTGTGGTTCAAAATAATTTTGTTTATCCTACAATGCCACACTAGGACTCCTATACATGTACCTAACTCTACAAAGTTGTTGTTGTTATGTGATTGAGTCAGTTCTGACTCACAGCAACCCTGTATAGAGTTTCTAAGGAGTGGCTGGTGGATTAGAACTATCAGCCTTGTATGAACTAGTATTCTTACATTTTATAGATAAGAATCCTAAAGCACAGAGAAACTACATATCTATCCTGCCAAAAGTCACTAAAAGTTGCAGATGAGTCTGGTTCAAAACTGCACTCTTTTAGGCCCCTAGGTGGCTCTCAACTATGAATTTAAAGATTGATAGTTCAAACTCACCCAGAAGTACCACAGAAGAAAAGGCCTGATTCTTTTAAAATTACAACCAAGAAAACTTTATACAGCAGTTCTACTTTGTAACACACGGCATCATAATGAGTCGGAATTGGTTCAATGCAAAGGGTTTGGTTTTTAAATTTTGGTTTCATCACCATCTTTCTCACCTCTCTCTGCTAAAGCACAGTGGAAGGAGAAGAAAGCCCAAAGAGGGGTTCTAGAATTTGTCCAGTGAAATAGGCCTCTTGCGGAGACTTTGCATAGTTTAGGACCATAAGTGGAATCGTAAGTCCCATCCAGAACCTTCTGACGTGGGGCATTCCCACTAGAAAGGACAAGCAGACCAGCCTGGAACAGCTAGAGCGACAGAAGATACATCTTCAAAGAAAGATCATCAGGGGGAAAAAAAAAATGTCAGTATGACTGGCTACTACATGAATAGACAAGCTGTTAGCCAGGAAGCCATCAAGGCAAGCAATCAAGTTCCTTCAAGACAAACCCCACTCTAAGATTGAAACTCAAAGGGAACACAT